TAGTCAACATAATCAACAACATCGGGACACCATCATCATCATCATCATCATTTAACCATCATCGCCATAATCAACAGCATCATCAACATCATCGGGACACCATCATCATCAGCAGCATCATCATCACCAACATCATCAATATCATCATCGGTACACCATCACCATCACCATCATCATCACCACCGTCATAAGCATCATCATCGGGATACCATAATCATCATCAGCAGCATCAGCATTACCAACATCATCATCAACAACAACGGGCAGAAACATCAACATCATCGTCATCTCATCCTCATCAACAACATCATCAACATCACCAGCGGGACACAGCCATCGTCATCATCACCATCAGCATCATCATCATCATCGGGACACCATCATGGTCACCATCGTTGTCATCGTCAACATCATCAACAACATCGGGACACCATCATCATCATCAGCTCATTATCATCATCATCATCAAAAGCATCATCAACATCATCGGGACACCATCATCATCAGCAGCATCATCATCACCAACATCATCATCAATATCATCATCGGTACACCATCACCATCACCATCATCATCACCACCGTCATAATCATCATCATCGGGATACCATAAACATCATCAGCAGCATCAGCATTACCAACATCATCATCAACAACAACCAGCAGAACATCAACATCATCGTCATCTCATCATCATCATCATCAACATCATCATCATCATCATCATCATCATCATCATCATCATCATCATCACCAGGACACCATCATCGTCATCATCATCACCATCAACACAACCATCATGATCATCATCAACATCATCATTATCGGGACACCGACGGGACACGGGCGGGACACCGCGGGCCCCCGGCCGCCTGGAAGGGAGTCATTTGGTCCGGCCGCGCCTCAGCCACACGGGACACCGGCGGGACACCGGCGGGACACCGCGGGCCCCCGGCCGCCCGGAAGGGAGAGATTTGGTCCGGCCGCGCCTCAGCCACAGGAGACTTTCTCTCGCCCGCCCACGCAGCTTCGCCTCGCCCGCACGGCACGCACGAACACGAAGCCGAAATCGATTTCCCGGTGGGGGGGCTCTCCGTTCCACTTCGATCTCACCCCCTCACCTCCGACAGGGCTATAGTGCTATAGGGCTATAGGGCAATAGGGCAATAGGGCTATATAGCTACCTATACGACCACCCTTCGGGTGATAAGGAGGTTCGGGGGGGGAGAAACCAACGTCTCACTCGATCGGTCTCACTATCGATCTCACTATCGATCTCAGTATCGGTCTCGCTCGATCGATCTCCCTCGATCGATCTCACAATCGATCTCACTCGATCTATCTCACAATTGATCTGACTATCGATCTCACAATCGATCTCACAATCGATCACACAATCGATATCATATTCGGTCTCACGATCGATCTCACTATCGATATCACAACCGCTCCCACAATCAACGTCATCATCATCAACAACAACATCAACATCAACATCATCATCACCAACATCATCATAATCGGGACACAGTCCTCATCATCAACACCAACATCATCATCATCACGGTCATCAACATCATCGGGACACCACCATCATCATCATCATCACCATCACCACAATCATCATCATCAACATCAGCATCATCATCATCACCATCGGGACACAGTCATCGTCATCATCATCAGCAGCAGCAGCATCATCATCGGGACACCATCATGATCACCATCGTTATCATCATCATCATCATGATCATCGGGGCACCATCATCATCATCATCATCATCATCATCATCTCATCCTCATCATCGACATCATCATCATCAGCATCATCAACATCATCATCATCAGCATCATCATCATCGACATCATCGGGGCACCATCATCATCATTACCAACATCAGCATCAACATCATCATCATCACCATCGGGACGCCATCATCATCAAAAGCATCATCATCATCACCATCATAATAATCATCATCATCATCATCATCATCATCATCGGGACGCCAGAATCATCATCAACCTCATCAGCATCAACATCATCATCATCATCATCATTGGGACACAATCATATTCCGTATCAGCAACATCAACATCATCATACTCATCATCATCGGGACACCGTCATCGCCATCATCATGGTCATCAACATAATCATCATGATCATCATCATCTTCATCATCGGGACACCATCAGCATCATCATCATCGTCATCATCATCATCATCGACATCATCATCATCATCATCATCATCATCGGGACACCATCATCATCATGTCGTCATCATCATCATCGTCCTCTTCATCACCATCATCATCAGCATCACCATCACCATCATCGTCATCATCATTATCAGCAGCATCATCATCATCATCAGCATCACGATCATCATCATCATCATCATCATCATCATCATCATCTCATCATCTCATCATCATCATCATCATCATCATCATCATCATCATCATCATCATCATCATCGCGGGACACCGCGGGAC